TGTTTGAAATTTCTCAAGTTTTTTACAGAATGTTTTTTTGTGAGTTCTAATTCGTTTCTCATGCTTTTTGATCCAGAACAATACAAAATCACTCACAGTTAACTGTCAACTTTTGATTTAGGACCATTGCAATCACTGTTTTTCGACATATTTTGAGTCGAGAAAGAGCGAGAAAAGCATGAGAAACGAATTAGAACTCACAAAAAAAACATTCTGTAAAAAACTTGAGAAATTTCAAACAAAAAAATTTAATCGAAAATTTCGCATGGAGTTAAGTCAAAAACTTTGAAAATTTCGGAAACAAACGCTTTGAAAAATATTGGTGATTCCTGCTTTTCAAAGTTTAAGAATCGACGAAAACTCGAAAAATCGTGCCAAAAACTTATTTGGAGCCCGAGATAGGTTCCTATGAATTCAATAAAAAAAGCAAAAAAACAATTTCAAAACAATGGAATCGAACTCGAGGCCTTCAGCTTACAAACCCTCGCCACTGCCTCTCGGCCACCTCGCCACTGAAAACTAGAGAGTGCGCGGGGGTTTATGTGAACGGTGTTTCACGAGAGGTTGCCAGGAGGCGATATCACAGAGGAAAGAGCAGCTTGCAATAGTTAAGAATTTGGAAACTTTCAGACGAAAATTTTCAGCATTTTTGGAAAATGTGCATATACAGATTTTGACAGGGGGTTTACAAGGACGTAAACTAACCGCTGTCAAAAAATGAGCAAATTCTCAACCCCTTTCTAAAACGACTTCCCTTGTTAGGTTTAATCTAATGTTGGTATTGCTGTATTATAAAAAATGTTATTTTCAAAAAAAGTATGACTTCAAAAAGTTTTGACTTACAAGCACGTTTCTTCTAAATCTCACAAAAAAACGAGCTCTCTAGCTTACCTGAGAGTCGTGATATAGTCATTTGAAGTTCTGGAAGTTAGAGACAACGAGACCTTCTAACTGTCTGCGTTTCTCTCAAACTTGAAACTTGAAACCGTATCTCAAGTTCAAAAAGTCCTAGTAGTTTGGTTTTTAGTGGGATTTGGAGGTGATTTTAAGTTTTTTTCTGGCGATCCAGGAAATCCAAAAAATTTTTATTCCAAAAAGAAAAACTATAAATTCCCTCCAAATCCCACTAAGAATCATTCTTCTAGACCCCCCTAGAACTCGAGATACAGCGTTTTGAAGTATCAGTAGAGACGCTGACAGTCAGAGCGTCTCGTTGTCTGCGTCTCTAACCTGCAAAACTTCAAATGGCTATATCTCGGCTCTCAGAAAAGCTAGAAAACTTGAAGGACCAAATATTGGAGCTCCGCGGTCCCAACTTGCCAAAAACTGACCGCCGTGACGTCAAAATGCACAAAATGCACAATTTCAAGCTTCGTAAATGTGTTATCACTTTATTTACAGCTTGTTCTTCTCCCAGTGTCTACTTTTCCGTCAAAACGTGAATCATAAAATGCATGTGTACCCACTTTTTGATAGGAATGACGCACTTACAGCCTATAATTATCACTATATCAGTGTAAAAAGTAATCATTGCTATTATCAGTTCCCGGAATCAGATCATTTCACAATGTTCTGTTTTGTGGGTCGCTCATTTTTAATTTATTTTCTTTTTTTCCGTTTCTGTAAGTTTTATAGGTTTAGAAAATTTTTTTTCTTTTTCAATTTGTTGTTGCCAAAAAAATGGTTTCATGTAAAAATTTTCAAATTCTAAAATGTCTGGAAAATAATTTTCTAGAAAATGTTAACAATTTACCTAATATTACTAACTTTTGAATATAGTATTTTTCAGCTTTTTGAAACTGGTTTTTTTTTTTGAAATTTCAAATTTTCATTTTCCCGCCGACCTAGACTAAAATTCTTTACACCATATCAATTTTAATGGACATACACACCGAATGATACTTGTTTTTCCAGTTCCTCCTTCTTTTTTTTGTTGTTTGTGATTGTAGAAATGATAAGTGGAAGAACATTGTGATCTTTTTTACAGACACCAGGAACAGAAATTTTATCTTTTTTGGCATTTTTTGGAACAAACAAATAAATGAAGTAATGTTTCAATCATTTTAGTGAGATTGTGAAACTTGTGAAAAAGCTTTTTTATTATCTTTTAACTTTATTTTTTCTGATTAATCAAAAAAATTGTTCCCACTTTCTGAAAGTTTTGATTTTTCGGTTTTTTAACAAATTTTGATCCATCGAGCTGCTCTCTTACGGCTATGGAATTTTTATTCACTTTTTCCTGAAAATCCTCTTACATTGAATTTTTTCAAATTTCATTTAAAATCTCTTTTTGAATTTGTTTCAATTGGATTCAGCTTTGCTCAGATTTAACTCGGTTACTGTGAAAGATACCAAAAAGTGATACACTAACAAAATATTACTGATAATATGACAAACATTTTATCAGTTGACCGTGTTTTGATATCCCTTAAAGGAGCCGAAATAAATTGGGTCAAAGTTGTGTTATATTTTTCAATCGTTCTCTTTTTGCAAAAACGTGATTTTTCAAAATCGGATAACTTTTCTTTTTTTTTCTTGTTTTTGGGTGATAAGACAGTTATCAGAGAACACTTCAATTTTGAGAATGAGATTGAAAAATAATGGAGAACAGACAAAAAACTTTTTTTAATCAATCACTGTTTTCCTATTTCGTTGAAATCTGTGAAGAAAATATTATTAGGATCTCAATCGACTTATTGGAAATTGATTTAAAAATCAAATTTTGGAGCTGCGAAATTTGAACAAAAATTTTAAATGAATTTGAAGAAGCATTTTTTGAATTTCTAATTGTAACCTAAATAGAAATTTAACTTAGGTCCTATTCATACTTAACTGAAATTTCAAAAACTTGATTCAAAGTATGAAACGTTCGAAACGAAAAAAATAATAAAATTTGTTAAAATTTCAATCTTCAGGTATTTTTCCAATGTTTAATTAAAATTCGAATCTATGGAATACCGTAGACACTCTGATAGAATTCCACCCGAATCGTCAAATTAGAGCCTATGTATCTAATTTTCTGTGAGAGATATCAAAAAGTGGTTCACTAATAAAAGCTGATATCATGATAAACATTTTATCAGTTGACAACTTTTTGATATCTTTCAAAAAAAGTGAGATATATAGGCTCAAAGTGGACGGTCCGGGTATTTTATTTTCAATTTTTTAACAAAAATTGAAAATCCTGGAACTTATTTTAGGGTTTCCTTCAAAGCAACACTAAAAAATCCAATTCACGATTTTTGGAAAATTTGCAGTTTCAAATTCTTTATTTTATCAAGTTCAATTTCATATTTTTATTTCCAAATTGGTAATAAATGAGCTTGTATTCAAGATTCAAGAGAATCATGTGACCGCAGAACTCTCCAATCTGGGCTTTGTGCTTAAACTTAACTTATTGTCCTTCTCCTTTGAAGTTGCTTTTCTAAAAATTTTTGTAAAATTTCAAAAAACATAAATCCTAATTGTAAGACAATTACTGTTCCAGGTCCTCAATTTAACTGAAAGTCTGACAGAAAGTTTGATTCCTCCATTGATTATCTTTCACATGGCAATTCTGAAAATTGAATTTGCAAATTCTGGAAAACAAAATACTCAACCTCAAATATAAAAATAACCTTAAGTGTACGAAAAACCTTGAACATTAGGGGAAGCCGTTTTCTTATATTTTTACCGAATTGAGCGTAAAAGAATTATCTTCCATTAAGTTACCAGTAGTCTGAAACAGATAAAAAGAATTTTTTGATTTACAAAAATCGGAAAAAAAAGAGTTTTGAAGTTTCAATTTCTCTAAATAACCAACTTGAACTATGTATTTAAATGCTCCATTAGGTTAACAGCAACTTGAAACAGTAAAAAATTATAATATCTTTAAATATCAAAAAAATGTCCTAACTAATCCTACAGACTCCACCTTATCACTTTTATCTCATAAATCTTTCCCCCATTTTTCTGACCATCACCTTGAGATCACAATCTCTTCACAACCTCCAATTTCTTCTTTTCTCCTTTTCTTCTTCCTTCAAAACCCATAAATTTCCCGCGATGTCTCCATCTTTCTTATTTTTTTCCTTTAAATTGGTCAAGTTTCAAGTTCTCTAGAATTTTCTCCCCCATCTTTTTCTCTTGTCGCCAAATACACACAAAACCCGACGTTGACAGTTCAAAGATAGAAGATACTCCTCTAGAGAAATAGTATAGGAATTGGAGAGAGTGTTAAAGAAGGCAGAGAAAAAGGAGATGAGTCTTCTGATGATCGAGACACATGACCGTACTTGACGGCGACTTGTTTGTATCGTCCCTCTATCCGTTTTTCTCCTTTTTCTCTTTTTTTGCTGTACACTGTGTGTTAGGTTTTCTGTGGGAAAATTTATCGATTTTTTGGAATCTAATTTCAATGGATTCTGGTTAAGATTTTCAAAAAGTTTTTGATCTTTTCCAACGAATCTAAAAGTTTTGTCTTTACTAATTTTTCAAACAATAGAATTAGTACATCTTCAAAAATTGATAATATTTTGAAACTGAATTTTTTATGTTAATTTTTAGTAAGTTAGTATTTCAAAATTCCTCTGAAAAACCAGCGTTCTAGCTCGCTTGAGAGCTGAGATATAGTAATTTGAAGTTTTGGAGGTTAGAGACGCAGACAACGAGACACTCTAACTGTCTGGTGCTCTTCCCTAAACTTCAAAACTGATAAAATGTTTATCATAATATCAGAAATGTTTTATCAGTTGACCACTTTTTGATATCTTTCACAGGAATTAAATAAATTTCATCAAATTTAGAGTTGAAAAATTTAAATAAGCTTTTTTTCCAATTTTTAAAAATTTTTTCAATCGTCTTTTTTCATATTGATTAATACTTTTTTTCATATTATTTGTGACTTTCTTGAAATAATTTTTTCTATCATTTTTTTTCTATCTCAGAAAATCTAAATTTTCAGATTTTTTTGTTGAAAAATCAACAAAAAAGCGGTAAATTCAAATTCCCCATATGGCTTCTGGTCACAATGCACAAAGATCCCAGCAGAGCAGCAATATAATCACCTTGAATGGTAAATTTTTGAGTTTTCGGAATTTTTTTATTCAAAAAATGAAAAACTAAAGTTCAAAAATGCCTTTTTTAACATATAAACTATTTGAAACAGCAAAAAATTTTCATAAAAATGCAAATTTCAAAATTTCAGACTCCGACGATGAAGCCGAGGATAGTAGCGGCAATAACTTGGGTGGTAGCAACAATAGTTCCAGTGCTTCGCTGAATTTGTGTAGGGTGAGCAATAGCTACAGTAATCCCCCAACAAAAAAAAATTCACGTGATTTTCAAATAGGAAGTTGACTAATTCAAAGATTGAGAGAGAGAGAGAGAGAGAGAGAGAGAGAGAGAGCCAGACATTTAATCCGATAACATAAAAAATGGCCACGCCCCCTTTTTTTGCAGGTCTGCGGTGCTGAAAAAGCTGCCCATCACTACGGTGCTCTCAGCTGTGTAGGATGTAAAGGATTTTTTCGTCGAGCACTTTTAAAAGCGGACCAATTGGAGTGTGCGGCCAATGGAGAGTGTACAGTTAGTATTTTGCGTGAGTTTTTTGACTGAAACTTGGCTTTATACTCGAAATCAGGAATTTTCATTATCAAATTCGTGTTTCAAACAGCCTCTTACTCCTAGACATGAATTTTGAGCGCGCTAGCTCAAAGTGTCGTAAGATTTGGTGTTTGGTCCGCAAACACCGAAGGGGAAGTTGGCGAGCTGAAAACTAGTGTGTATGGGTAAAAAACCATGGGAAACGCGAATTTGATATTAAAAACTTCTGATTTTGAGTTGTAATATTAGAAAATCGTGATGGGATGTTTGCGTACCAGACACTTTGAGCTAGCTAGCGAAAAACTAGTGTATAGGGGTAACTAGCCATGGGAAACACGATTTTGGTAATGAAAAGTATTGATTTTGAGTTTTACTAATTATAATTGACATTTTTAGAGTTTGACCAAGGAAAGCGAAACAATAATACTTATTTAATCGAATCCTGAAACTGAATCATTGAAACTGTATTTTTTGAAAATTAACCTAAAACTTAAAAAATGAACAATTTCCAGAAAAAATCCAATGTCGAAGTTGTCGATTTCAAAAGTGTCTACGAGAAGGAATGAATCCAGCGTGTGAGTTTTTTTGCCTATTTTTAGCTGAAAATAACTCTTAAAAATAGATATTATAAAACTGAAATTTTTACAAAAAAGTTGTCAACTACAAAAGTAAAGCGCTATTCTTGTTTAATACACCCTGAAATTTTCAGACAGACCTGAAAATTCTGGACCCCTTTTGTAGGATGTCAAAGTTGGCTATGTTAGACTGAAAATGTCAAAATATGACATACTTTCTGTCCGGCTCATAACTTGGTTTAAAATTGGAATTTCTGAATGAATTAAAATGTACAGTGTAGAACTTAAAAAAATCTTTAAAATGATATAAAATTAGACTATTTTTGAATTCCCAGTTTTGAACACAAAACCGAAAGGAGCAGGCGCTCAAACCGGTCCGCTTTTCCGTCTCGGATGCTTCACGAATTCTAGTTCAAAAAGTCGCTGATTGAATTTATGGTCAACTTATGCGGGTTACTAGCAATGATTGCTCCAACCAAAGTTCTACTTGTGATTTATGTTAATTAGGGTTAATAAGCAAATTTTGATGTTTCAAAAAAAATTGCTGTTTCAAAACCTGAACTTCTTTATTGGACTATTTTTTTTGTCATTACCTGCGCTGAGTTACAAAAAAAAATCGTATCTATTCCAGTCGTCCGCCCGAATCGAGATGCACCTCCAAAACCTCGAAAACCGGTAACTACAGTAGCCACATGCGACCTAACCGATCGTGGCAGGACCACAAAAACACGGGAAGAATGGATGAAAAAGATGACAGTGGAGATGAGAACGATTCTAATGACTTTATTGAATATAGAAACAAAAGTGATGAAAGGAGACACTCAGCAAGAGGCATCGAAGTTGTATCCGCTTAAAGGAGTGGATAAATTGAAGGAGATGATTGAGAAGCCGATGAGTTTGAAGGGAAAACGAACGGAAATGAGATATGAGGCTTATCGAATGGCTGGAAATGATGAATTATGTGCAATTGCTTATCGAAGATTGATAGCTGCGATTGATTGGGTGGAGAGCTTGTCTCCATTGTTGGGACATTTGAGTGTGGAGGATAAGGTTGGTTTAAACTTCTTTTCTTTCTGAAGAAGCGACTCTTTTGGGACAAGTCAATCCAGTCCGAATTTTCAAAAAATCTTGATTTTCATGAAAGTTACAGTAAGACTATCCATTAACACTGACTATAAAGTGAGGGTTGTGCCTCTTTAAAACCACTTATCTCGTTTCTTTCGAGATGTACAAAAAGTTGTCAATTACACAATTAAAGCTCTGTTTTCATTCAGTGCACTCTGAAATTTTCAGACAAATTGAAAAGTTTTGAATTACCTCGATGAGACTTTGAAGTTTGCTATTTCAGACTGAAAATGTCAAAATATGATATATTTTTGTCCGGCTCATAAATTAGCTCAAAAGTTGAATTTCTGAATAAATCAAAATGTAAAACGTAGAACTTAAAAAGATCTTTAAAATGATATTAAATTCGACTATTGTCGAAATTTAACTTCTGTGCCAGTGGCTCTAAAGGAGCAGGCGCTAAGCGGGTCAGGTTTTCCGGCTCGGCTGCTTCAGGGCCTTTACTTGGGAAAGTCGGTACTCGAACTCAAAGATTGTTACACCATTTTAAAAATACCAGTCGGTTTGCGCCCCTTCGGGGCTGAACCTCTCCGGTTACAGTACCCGTAATCTTATAAAAACGTTTCTACACGTTTATTCTAGACCTCGAAATTGGAAATTGTGAAATTCAGTGTATTAGGAATTAGAAATTTTAAGATACCGTATTTCTTCTGATAGAAGTCCATGGACTTCTATTTTTCAACTTCTTTTTCAGGGTGGAATTTTTTTTTCAGGGCGGTCGGCTTCTGTTTTTCAGCAATATATTTTTAAAAAATCAGAAATTTGGCAATTCGGAAGTTAAGAATTCTAAAATTCAGTGAAAAATTCGAGACTTTCATTCTGCACTTCTAAATTCCAAAATTCTGAATTTATGCGATTCTGAGATCCCGCGATCTCAAAATTTGAAATTCAGGAATCCTGAATTTCCGGGAAAAAGTTCTGAAATTCTAAAAATCAGAAATTCCGAAATTTAGACATTAGAAAGTTCAGGAATTGAGAAACTTTCGAGTTCTAAAATCTCAGTTTCAAAAGTTCTGGAATTTTGAATTACCGTATTTTCTCTAGTTGAATCCCATGGGCTTCTATGTATTAGAGGGCGGTGTTCTAATTTTTGAAGCACCTCGCGTGGTAGATTTCTATTAGAGGAAATACGGTATTAAGAATTTATAGAACTTCAGTAGGAAATTCAGAAGTTCGAAAACTTCAATTTTGAAGACCTTGTCAAAGGTTTTTTAATTTCAAAATTCTGAGTCTAACTCTGAAATTAAAAGTGTAAATAGAAAAGTCGGTTTACACTTTACAGGGGCTGAGCCTCTTTTATTGGAAATCTCGGAACTCAAATTTTTGAAAACTCTGGAAGTCAGAAATACGGAAACCCAGGTATTTATAAATTGAAATTTTGGAAAGCTTTATATTTAAAATTTCAGAAATATGCGAATCCGAAAGTTCTTTTTTGATTTTGAACCTCGGATGAAAATTTCAAAATTTCTGAGTTTCTGAAATCTTTTATTTTCGAACTCAGAATTTCAAAAATTCATACATATTTGTTCAATTTTCATACATATTTGTATGAAAATTCATACATATTTGTTCAGTTTATAAACTTCGAGAAGTTGGTAAATTTAGGAAGTGTAAAGCCAGAGATTTGGATTCAAAACGTCCACAGTTTGAAACCTTTATTTCGAAAACTTCAGTTCTTATCTGATTTTAACTTCAGAAAGTTCCTATGTTGGAGATTTTGAGAGTTCCTATAGTTCGAAGTTCCTGTATTTCTCCTTTTATGATTTTTTTCTGACGATCCGGAAATCTCGAAACTCAAGAAATTTGAATTAGAAGACACAAAACTTGGAAATTTAAACACTCTAAAATTCTAAAGTTTCATATCGGTGAAAAAAAATTTTCTACTTTCGGCTTGAAACTAATGAAACGGGGAAAATCAGCCCACGATCCAAGGGTACATCGAAAAAGGGTATCTTAGGGTATATTGGTTCTGAGGGTACATGGGATCTTAGACTGTAAGACGTTTTAGCCTAAGCCTATAATTTTGAGCAGAAAGCAAAATAGTATGTATAAAAATATTGATTTACTTTTCTGGGCCGGGAAAATCTTTGCTAAGGTTTCATTGAAACTAATTGAAAACAGTCAGACATTTTCATATTCACTTCTGAAATCTCTACAAAAAAACAAAAAAAAGTTGTCACCGATCGGACTCGAACCCGCCTGTTGCACATTCGGGATTTTTACCTTCGGCTTTTTTCACTTATCAAAATTTTAGGGTCTTTGAAACTCTTTCTAGAGAAGTAAGAGCAGAACGTTTCTGATGCATCTACCTAATTTTCATTCGAACGTTTTCTGTTCACTCTGAACGAAAAAAACTGATTCATAAAGTTTCTTCTTTTTTGTGTTTTTTTTTCGAACTGAACACGGCCTCCCACAGAACATTTCCGAACTGCAAATTAATTTTTGATCTACAGTTAAAAAAGTTTGGCGCGATCACAATTGCAGGTCTAAAACCATAATTTCAGGATTTTTTATCTGATTTTGTGGAGATTGAAGATAATTCAAATGATTCTTTAAAAATTAATTAGTGGTTATAGAATCCTGTATGGTCCTTTTCCGGAAGAAACAATTTCAAAATTGGTCATTTTTGAAAGTTTTTTACAGAAAAAATCTATCTCCTCTTTCAGTTTTTAACATTTCTAGGAGTTCTATAGCTCAAAAAAACGGCAATTATTTTCTCTACATTTTGTATGGACGAATTTTTGATTCGTCTGATAAAACTTTTTTTATAATTAAAAAACAATCCAAAAAATGCAATTTCGTGCAATTTCGGGAGGTTTTTTGATTATAAAAAAAGTTTCATCAGACGAATCAAAAATTCATCCATACAAAATGAAGAATAAATCATTGCGGTTTTTTGAGCTATAGAACTCCTAGAAATGTCAAAAACTGAAAGAGGAGATAGATTTTTTCTGTAAAAAAACTTTCATTTTTGGAATATTTTCTTCCGGAAAACGACCATACATGAATCTATAACCACTAATTAATTTTTTAAGAATCATTTGAATTATCTTCAATCTCCACAAAATCAGATAAAAAAAATTCTGAAATTATGGTTTTAGACCTGCAATTGTGATCGCGCCAAATTTTTTTTCTGCAGATCAAAAATTAATTTGCAGTTCGGAAATGTTCTGTGGGAGGCCGTGCTGAAGAGAAAAAACATGTACCCACTTTTCAAAATCACTTTTGAGATCTGATTAAAAAAACAAAATGAATTTCCACCGATCGGACTCGAACCCGCATCGCGAGGGCAAAAGCGGAGTGCGCTAACCAATACACTACTCGGTCATTACTGGAAGAGAGGGAGAAATGGCGTACACGTGTGTGGGATTTCCTCCCCCTTTCTCTCTCGCCCTCCACCATCGCCCTCTCTGCACACCACGCTTTACTGTGGTGAAACAAAGGAACGTCTCCAGAAGACTTCAGAATCAAAATTTCGAAAATAGAAAGGGATGGGCAAAAGCTAATAAAAAATTTCCGATTCGCCTGTCTAGGTTTCAGCTCAATCGGTTAACTTTGAATGGGTGAACAGACACGCTACATCCATCCGGACATACGGAATTTGGTAAATGTTATTAGTAATGATTTTCAAAGCTAAAATTTTATTTTTTTGATTCAAGTCAAATTTCGAAATTTGAGCCACGTTATCCGGTTTACAATCATGTTACACATGCCTTTCAATTTCCTATATCTACACTTTTGGAAAAAAAATAGTGCTGTAGAATACTGTAGTCCATCATTTATAAGTCAGTAACGAAACGCCAAAACACAAATAGTTTCCGATAAAAAATTCGAAAATTATGAAAATTTTGAAACACAAATTTTTTTAATTTCAAAAATTTTCAGATCGCTCTGGTCAAGTCATCATTCGCTCCCTTGATGGTGTTCAATTTCTGTGCCAGGACAGCAGAAGCGTGTCAAGATGAGAATGTGTTATGCCTTTGTAATTTTGCATATGTACCAAGAAATATTTCAAAGATGTATGAGGATACGTAGTGAGTTTTTTTTTGTCTGAAACTCGACTTAAAACTCAAAATTAAGAGTTTTCGTTATTAAATTTGTGCTCCCCATGGCTTTTTACCTCTAGATGTGAATTTTGAACTCGCTAGCTCAAAGTGTCGTAAGATTAGGTGAAGCTAGCGAGCTGAAAACTTGTGTATAGGAGTACCAAGCCATGAGAAGCACGAATTTGATAATTGAAACTCTTGATTTTGAGTTGGAACCTTAGAAAACCCAGACAAGATGTTGTGGGGTTTGCAGACCAAACACCAGATCTTACGACACTTCCAGCTAGCGAGCTGAAAAGTAGTGTATAGGGGTAACAAGTTATGGGGAACAAGAAACTTATTCTTATTACGAAAAATGCTTGATTTGAGATTTAACAAGAGAAAATCTAGAAAACGTTTTTTGGTGTTTGCAGACCAAACACCATAACTTACGACACTTCGAGCTAGAGAGCTAAAAACTTGTGTGTAGGGGGTAACCAGTCATCGGGAGCTCAAATTTAACAAGTAAAATTCTAAATTTTGAGTTTTAACATAAGAAAAGCGAGAAATTCCAGCCACCTCGGAAATGGTCTTGTCGAACGAGCACTAAACGAACTCGTGGCTGTCTACAGGGAGTACGGTATGCGGGAAGAAGAAATCGTCTGTGTGAATGCGATGATTTGTTTGAATCCACTCGCCAAAGATGTGTCGGATACGCTTTTTGAGAAAATTGTGGAGTTGAGAAATCGAATTGCGGACTGCTTGTTTTCAATTGTGAAGGAAGTCAGGTTGAGCCCAACACCAAACGTTTGTTATGGACATATTTTGCTATCATTGGCTACTGTAACGGTAAGTTTGAAACTGTCGATAAAATTTGACACATTTTATTAGTAGACATATTTTTGTTATCTCTTATAAAAGCTGAGATAAAAGGGGTCAAAGTTAAAGGCCCGCGAAATTGGGGCTATTCGCTTTGAGCTCAATTATCTCGGTTTCTTTAAGAGCTATCAAAAAGTTGTCAACTGATAAAATGTTTATCATAACATCAGTAACATTTTATCAGTTTTCATCTTTTTGATAGCTTTTGTAGAAACCGAGATAAATTTTACCGAAGTAATTTTCCAGGAACTAGCCAATGCAATGAGCGAGAACCTCCAGTTCGCTCAAACATTTTCGAATCAAGGAGAAATTCCATTATTAACAGATTTGTTTGGATGTTTCACAGTTGAACCATTTTTCAAAGAAGTCGATGAATTGGCAGCGTTGAGTTTGGAAAAAGCAATGGCAGAGAAAAAAGAAATGGCGACGCAGACAGATAGAGTACCACCGCCGAGGGCGCTTCTGGTAAGATTTATTTGAGCTGAATTATCTGGGTTACTGTAAGAGATATTAAAATTTGTTAACTTATAAAATGTTGATCATAATGTCTGCAACATTTTAGTTGATTACAACATTTTGATATCTCTTACAGGCTTCGAGAAGAATTGGCTTGGAAGTTTGGGTTCTCAAACTTTGACCCATTTTATCTCGGTTCCTATAGAAGCTATCAAAAGTTTGTCAACTGATAAAACGTTGCAAATTTTATGATAAACATTTTATTAGTTGACAATTTTTTATATCTCTCATACAAAGCGAGATAATTAAGCTCAAAGTAAACTGGTGACGCAAGACTCATTGGTGGGCGGCCGCGCGGTAGGCGAAAAGCGACTGAACACTTAAAACTGTCCATAACTTGCTTCAAAATGAAAATTTGTCAAAGATTCTTCTTGAAATATATAGAATAGAAAATTTCCTACAAAATGATATCAGATTTTTGAAGTACAATTGCTTACAAACCGTGGAATTTTTCGATTTTATTTCATAAGCACTTCATGGAACTTAAATTTTTTTGGTCAGAAAGTTGGCTGACTGTGACTGCGTAGCCCAGCCGGCAATTAGCTTGTTAATTGGCCAATTAACTAGATATTTTCCAGAAACGCCAGGCCACAATCGACGAGGAAAGTGAGGAGCCACCTCGACAGAATTTCCGCCTTCTACAACCCCCAAACAATTTTTATATCACCGAAATGTTGGATGATTTGAGAGTGAGTTTTTTTCCTTAGTTTTTGTGTGTCTCTGTGGTTACTGTAGTTTTCCATGTGTATGTCTTGCTGTATAGCGTTTTGTAGAAGATTTCAAACTCTACATTTGTCAATTTGTTTGGTTCCAAAATGTTGATTTTGAAGAAAGTTATGAGGGTTTAAAGTTAACTTACTGGAAAACTTCGTAACTAGCTTCAAACTTAATGTTTTGATTCCTAAATTTCTCAATTTGAACCCTTACCCGACCCCCTAAATGTCTTCCCTAGTTTGTACTGTTTCCAGGCACCGTCCTCCTATCCCCTCTCGTCCCCCGACACTCAAGCACCAATGGTACCTAACAATGGTACACCAATGGTACTCATTCCCTCTCTTTAATATTTCTGAAATCCTATAATTAATTTTCCAGAACAATCACGCGGAGAACCATCTGATGGGATTGAACTACGATGCATCTACAGTACCCATGGGGCCAAGTACCGTAACCCAACAGTACCCTGCAGATCAGCCATCCACGTCAGCGGGACCTTCAAACGCCTATTACAACTTCCCACCACCCCCTAACTATCCCCCGTTGAACGCTGGCTACACCCCAAATGTTAATTACCCCCAATTATATCAACAACCTCAATATTTTCAAAATTATCAACATTCTACAGAACCTTATCCATATCAACCCCAGGAACCATATTTTTATAATAGCCAAAATTCGTCACAAAACTATAACCAGTTTCAGAATCAATATGCGTCTTAAAGCTCAATTATCTGGGTTACTGTAAAAGGTATCAAAAAATGATTAATTATTAAAATATTACTAATAAAATTTCCTATATTTTATTAATTGACAATTTTTTGATATCTTTTAAAGGAACCGAGATATAATGGGTCAAAGTAAAAGTGCCCTTAGAATCTGCGCCTTCAACTTTGACCTACTTTATCTCGGTTTCTGTAAGAGATATCAAAAAATAGTTAACTGATAAAATGTGTGAAATTTTATCAGTAATATTTTATCAGTTAACGACTTTTTGATATCTCTCACAGTAACCGAGATAAAATGGCTTATAGTGTAATTTGCCTTTTTTTCTTAACTTTCTCTGTGCTCTTTCAGAATTTCCGGTGGCATAATTTCCTTTTTTACTGTTTTTTGGATTTTTTGGTCAAATACGATATTTTTTGATTACGAGTAACTTTTTTAATTGTCTGATGGAATTTTTTTTGGAATTTGAATAAATTTTTTTTGAATTTTAACGAAAGATTAGAAATAGCAAAATTTAGGATTTCAATATGAGAAAAATGAAACAGAGATTTTCAATTTGATAGTTTTTTAAGAAAAAAAACTTGACAAACAAGCTGAAAAAGTGCAAATGAACCTGAATTTTCAGACAGATTTTTAATAAACTTTATGAAAATTGTGATTTTGAAACTTTCGGAAAAATCAGAAATTCCAGTATTCTTAAAATATTACTGAAACCGGAAAAATATTCAATTTTTCATTTTTATTCTCAAAAATATTTATTGAGACACACAAATAAAGTTATAGAGAAAATTGACAAGTAGGGAGTACCAGAAAAATTCTCCTCCTCGGACTGTTCTTCTGGAATTTTAGAGGTTTCTGGAATTTCGGCGTTTTGGATTTTGGCATTTTGTGGGGTTTCGGATTTTCTGGCAGACGGTGCTGTTGGTTTTGGAGATTTTGGTCTGAAACCGAAAATTCCGCAGAAATTGGCTCGAGAAATAATTCGCAATTTTTCCGCGCGGCAGCCTTGCGTCGGCGACGCCCCGCCCACTCGCGGAGAAAACGGAGGAAAATGAAGAGCACAAAATAAGCTGTAACTCGAGCATGAGCGAATATTTTTTGACAAAAATTTGGAAATATGCTAATTAGGAAGAGGAGATCATATTAAAATGAAATAATTCCTTTCGACGAGAAACCATCCGGCATGTCTCCCACTGAAAAATGGATGTATATCTTATTCTTCTTGTTTGTCTTCGGCGACGTAATCTTGGAATCGATATGGTGTAAAAATTGGAGGACATGGAGAAAAGAAGAAAAAGAACGGCTGGAGAAAGAGAGAAAGAGACAATGAGGAAAAGAATAAGGAAAACGAGAAAAAGGAAGAGAATCAGCCAAAGAAGATAATCAAGAATAGAAAGGAGCAGGAATTGGAAATTAAGAAAGATTCGAATTTGAGACCAGGGATTTCGAAGACTCCAGAAACTCAAAAAGAACCAAAGAAGACTTTGAAATCAAGTCTCCAGTCGAAAAATGCGAATCCACCAACAAAAAAACCAAAGAAAGAAAAAATAATTATATATGAACAATATAGATTCTATTGCTCGTTTTTGAAATTTCTGAATTTCATCTATTTTTTTTGTTTGGAAATCTCGTCTCCAATAGTAACTTCTGATTCCTCTAAGATTCCTGAAATTCTTTTTCTTCTGGATTTTTTTTTCAGAAGTTTCCACTATTATCATTGTTTCCCTTCCTTGGGTTTGAAATTTCTGGAGATTATTCTAACTCTGGAATCTTCTGTGTATGTGGACTTCTGGAAAAAAAAACTCAAATTATCATTTTAAGTTTTTTTCTGCTCTTAAAAGATTTATTTATTCCTACCGATTTTTTTTATTCTCTGGTACTATACATTTTATCATGTAATATTCCATTTTTTTTTCAATTGCTGAATTTATTGCCGTTTTCAGTGTTTTTAGTGCTTTTTTTTGAATAATTTTTGAGTTAATAAATTTTTTTTTAATTTTCAGATTTTGTTATTTACCCGCCAAAATTTGAATTTTTCTCTGTTCACCCAAATTCAAAAAAGTTCTTTTTTTTTCTCTTAAAATTCTTCCGAAACTATGAATTCTGAACACAGTGACCTGTAGAACTTTTTGGGATTGTAATTTTGATTTTTTTTAATAAAAAAATTAATTAAATTTTTTCCAGAAGATTCAAAATATGAGAATCCGAGCTATTGGTTCGAAATCGACAAATTCCCGAAAAAATGGAAATTTCTGGAACAAAATGTTTTTTTTTTCAAAATTTTTGAAAAATTTGAAATTTCAGGCAATTCTGAAAATCTGGATCTGGATTTCCAATGCCAAATGATTCCTTCGCGTTGCCAAGATTCAGAAGACGTTGAGATTCAGAAGATTACGAAAATTTGGATTCTAAAGAGATAATAATACACGAAAAAAAAAATTTAAAAATTTTCAAAAATTTTTTTTCTTCCAGACTCAAATTTCGAACTGGAACATAATTATTGCTCTGCACCAAGCTCAAAATTCAAGCAAACCCAAGAAACCGTGCAAAGCGCCGCCAAAGAACACATTTTCGAAATGTCATAGTTTTGAAATGTAATAGTTGCGAAATGTCATAGTTGCGAAATGTCATAGTTTTGAAATGTAATAGTTGCGAAATGTAATAGTTGCGAAATGTCATAGTTGTAAAATGGTCATAGAAGCGAAATTTTACGATGGAGCGTATTTCCTCTATATATTTTTTTAAATCGATTTTTTCGAAATTCGAAGTTTCAGAACGATTTTTCAAATTTTTTTTTCATTTAAAATTTTTTAGAAATTTTTGAAAGTTGCATTTTTTCGTAAAATTTCGAATTTCAAGTCAGTTTGCGCTGGTTTTTATATCGACTTTTTTGGAATATTCCCTTTAAAAAATCTCAAATTTCAATTTTTAAAAATTCGATTTATTAGTAAATTAAAGTGAGAATTATGACAAAAAAGCAACAAAAAATACGAAAAATGAGTCATTTTCTCTTCTTGGAATTCCCATTATCATCGTCTGTCAATCGTCGTTTTCTCTGATTCCTAAGCACATCCTCTCCAGAATCCTCTTCATAATCCGAGACGCTCATCGTGTCCAACAAGTCTCTTAGACCGTTTTCCTCGCCAATCTCCATCGGAATCATTGAATTCGGGTCGTTTTCCTTGTCTTCTGAATCCTCGTCTTCTGAATTTTTGACGTCTTCTGAATCGGATTCTGAAGGCTCCCGTGGTCTTCTGAACTGCACGCTCAGCTCGCCGAACAACTCGCGAGCACATGATGGACGCTGAAAATATCGATTTTCGGCTAGAGAATTGGAGAAAACAAAATTTTTTTTGCTGAAAAAAAATTCTGAAAAAATCGATAATTTTTTTTCGAAAAAAAGTTTTCAAAAAAAAATTTGCTTTTTCTAAAATTTTCAGCAAAATTTTACCGTCTTTTCCGCCCGTCTTTTCCGCTGATCCTCCTCATTTTCCTCCAAAATCAACGGATTTCGTTTTGAACGAATTTCAATGGGCCTATGCAATCTGTTTGATCGATTTGTGGGCGGAGATTGCTCATCTGGAGGTGGCCTTGATAAAAATGATCCACGTGGCAATATGACAAGGCTGAAAATTTGGATTTTTAGGCAAACATTTGAAAAACTCACCTATTTTTCTTTTCAGCCGAATTCTTTAAACATTTGAAAAACTCACCTATTTTTCTTTTCAGCCGAATTCTCCTCATTTTTCCTTGATTCTGGCGGCGTCATCGCGTAGTTTTTCAGCTGAAAATTAAATTTCCTCAAAAATCCCGATTTTTCGCTTATTTTCGACGATTTCAGCGGTATTTCTGGCTTAAAAACGTTGAAAAATTACGATTTTTGCTCTTAAAATGACAAATTTCAGCAAAAAATCGCTGAAAATCGGCGAAATCTGACCTGAAAATGGCTTTAAAAAATCGAAAACTCGAAGTGTACGCAATGTTGCGTCATCGTGTATGCACCCTTTATTTTCTACAGTAGTCATCTGAAAAATGCTTCTGGCGATTTAAAAATCGCTTTTTAGCTGGTTTTCATCGATTTTAGCGATATTTCTGGCTTAAAAACATTGAAAAATTACAATTTTTGCTCTTAAAACAACAAATTTCTGCTAAAAATCGCTGAAAATCGGCGAGAATTGACAAAAATTTGACCTGAAAAATCTAAATTTCACATTGTACGCAATAGTGCGTCACGGTGTATGCACACTTTATCTTCTACAGTAGTCCTGGAAAAAAATCCTGGCGATTTTTCATTAAAAATCATGACAAAAACGAGCGGAAAATCAGCTATCCGTACTTCATTTTACATAGGAAAATCAGGCAAAAATCTGCAATTCAAAAAATACAACAAGAAACATTAACAAAATTCGGAAATTTGGAAGTAATGTTAAATTTTCAAATTTCAAAGTTTTCGAACTTCTAAAATTTCGTAAAGGTTGATTTCCCAGTTAAAAATTTCTCAATCGCCCCTACGGGCGCAAACCGACTGGCTAATAAACATTTTTAACGTTTTTTACCTGCCGGACACGAAAACCGAAAAAAAATCCGGAAAAATTGTCCGGTAAGAAAGTCGCGCCGCTCGCGTGGCCTAGGTTTCTCACTGAAAATCCTCGTCCCTCGGCGGCACCTTTTTTTGAATTTTTTCCTTTTCAACGGAGTTTTTCAGGGATTTCGGATTTTCTTTGAATTTTTTCGCAATAATATTCGAAAAATAGATAACTTTTAACACATTTTAATGCAATAAAAAATTTGACCGGAGCCCCCCCTTTAATACAGTACCTTAACATTTATCGAATTTTTGTTTTTTTTTCTCTTATTTTTTCGCTTGTCTCTGTCTGATTTTGTGTAATTCTTATAAATCTTTAAGTTATTTTTCTTATAAAATAGAAAAAAACAGCCAAATAGGGCCCAAAATAAAAAACGTCCGAGGTACGGTATTTAAAGGCGCATGCATCCATTTGTTGTTTTCGCTGTGCGACCCACGATGCGATTTTGAGTAAATTTTCGGCCGCAACGTGCATTGATTTCGGACGAGAGTAATGTCCTCTGCTGGGAGCTCAGTTGCATAGAATCTAAAGTAGTTTTTGTCTTTCTATTTGGTCAGTTTTGTAAATCAACTTGTCAATTTCGAGCGTAATTTGAAGGTAATGGTTGTGTTTTCAGAGTTTCACATCACTGCATCTTATCAGCACCGTCCTGTTATCAGAATCTAAAATTGGCCATTGAGCTTCCAGGAGAGGATATATTATTGTTCTACGCTGTCATTTTTTATGTCACCAGGATTTTTTTTTCCAAGGCCACAGTTTCAAAACGTCGGTTATGTTTACCGCATTTGGTACTTATGGAGTAACTATGGAGCATCGTCGAATTCAAGAGCCTAAACTCCGACACTTTTTTCGAAGTTTCGAGACGCGTCGCTCGAAATTTTCGAGTGCGACAGAGCGCACTTCCTTTAAACTCCTTCACAAATAGAGCTGCTTGAGCTTTAAAACCGTTTATATTTAACAAAATCACCACAAATATGAAAAATAGGGGAAGAGATCTAAAAAGCATTACTGTAGAAAGTCAAAGAATTAAAAAAAAAGGAGAATTATGCAGAAGACGTTGATGGTCCTCCAGAATCTCCACTGGCTCCTTTGCTTCTCTTGTACCACTGTCGAACGGCTTCATGTCCCTCCTCATTCACAATGACCAACTTCTGTTGGGGATTCGCCCAGAGCAGAATTCCACGCTCTTGAGCGTATCTGACGACGCCGTGATACTCGTCGTCGGATTCAAAGTGCGAATAGATGTAGGCGTCCTTCAGGTCCATACGACGACGTTCGTCTTCCCACAAGCGGATTTGATCGGCGACCTGAAATTTCGAAACTACGACATTTCGCAGCTATGACATTTCGCAACCATGACATTTCGGAACTATGTCATTTCGAGACTATGACTTTTCGCAACTAATACATTCCGCAACTATGTCATTTCGCAATTATGACGTTTCGCAACTATGTCATTTCGCAAATAGGACATTTCGCGACTATTACATTTCGCAACTACGACATTTCGCAACTATGACATTTCGCAACTATGACATTTCGCAAGTATGAAATTTTTGCAACTATGACATTTCGCAACTATGACATTTCGCAACTATGACATTTCGCAACTATGACATTACGCAACTATGTCATTTCGCAACTATGACATTTCGCAACGATGACATTTCGCAACTATGAAATTTCGGAACTATGTCATTTCGAGACTATGACTTTTCGCAACTAATACATTCCGCAACTATGTCATTTCGCAACTATGACGTTTCGCAACTATGACATTTCGCAACTATGACATTACGCAACTATGTCATTTCGCAACTATATTGGTGCTGAGGTCCCATTTCATTCCATAAACTCAAATCTAGCAGTATTTTTGGCGCCAAATTCGAAAATTCAAATTTCCCGGGCACCTACCGTAATCGGCAAACAATTGACGGGCCCCGATGTGGCGACACACTGTGGATGGGCGTTGGCACGGAGGAATGAGATGATTTGGGCGGCGGTGATGCCGTGTTGAAGGGCTCCACGGACCGATTCGCGGGTGATCATGCCGACGGACATGTCCGTGAATCTGAAAGATATGGGACGGATTAGAACTGTGACGTTTTAGAACTTTTCTTGAATCAAAAAGTTCTAGAACGTCGCGAAAGGTTTCGAAAAGTTCTGAATCGTCAGATCCGTTTTTTGTGACACTGTGACGTTCTAGAACTACGACATAATAGGACCAGACATTCTAGAACTGTGCCAGATTATGACTGTGTCGTTATAGAACTGCGACATTTTAGAACCGTCATGTTCTAGAACCGCGACCTTTTAGAACTGCGACGTTTCAGAACCTTGCGGGGAGTAGAATCTTGACGTTCTAGAACTGTGACATAATGGAACCTCTGAAACGCCCCAAAAGTTGCGAAACGTCGTCACGGTCCTAACAGTTCTAAAACGTCTTGAAAAGTTCTAACCCGTCCTAGAGGCTCAAAATCGGTTCTAGAACGTCCGAAAAGTTGCGAAACGTCTTCAAAAGTTCTAGAACGTCCTAGAGGTTCAACATGGGTTCTATAACGTTCTAAGAGTTGCGAAACGTCGTGAAAGTTTTAAAACGTTAAAAAAGTTCTAAAATGTACTAAAAGTTCAAAAATGCCCGAAAAGTTCTAAAACGTCCCAAAGGTCTCAAAAGTTGCGAAACGTTGCAAAAGTTCTAGAACGTCCCAAAAGTTGCGAAGCGTCGCGAAAGTTCTAAAACGTCCTAGAGGCTCAAAATCGGTTCTAGAACGTCCTGAAAGTTGCGAAGCGTCCGGCAACTTCTAGAACGTTATAGAGCCCCAAAATGGGATCTAAGACGTCGCAAAAAGTTCTAAAATGTACTAAAAGTTCTAAAATGTCCAAAAAGTTCTAAAACATTTTGAAAAGTTCTAAAACGTCCCAAAAGTCTCAAAAGTGCGAAACGTCGCGAAAAAGTTCTAGAACGTACCTATACGTCATTTCCGTGAAAAGCGCGATAATCGCCAGCTGCAAAAGCGACGACGTATACGCGTAAACCCTGAAATTCGTCTCCACAATCACTTTTCCATTCGACGCCTTCTCAGATGACGTGTCGTCAATAGTCTCGTTGGTTGCCAAATGGGTTAGAAGGTGTGTCAAGAAAAAGACACCGTCTTTTCGTTTCCGAATGAAAATGACCCCCAATTCTCTTAGATGATTCAGAAGGTCGTGTTGCGGTTGTGTCCATTGCTCATCAATCTGATAACACTCTTTTTCCGCTTTGAATCCTGCAACTTTCACTAGGGGGAGCTGAGATTACTGTAGCGCCGTCGGCGGGTTACTGTACCTCTATTGGCTAGGAGCACAATTTGAATGAGTGGTTCGATGACTTCAACGATGTCGTTTCCTTTGGAGATCTCCAATTTCAGGTATTCTATGACGTACGTCCACATTTGTTTCACTGGGCTGAGCAATAGAAATTGGAAACCAAATGTGGTGATTTCGATTCGAGACTCGCCGCTGGTGAAGTTGGCTTTTCGGAATAGGTCCTTGGTGGTGTCTGAGACGGCTTCGGTGTTCTCTTCGGACGGGAGAGCGAGATATCTAAAAAGTCGTGGTTGCGAAACGTCTTGACCTTCAAATTAGCGATTCTCCGAGACTAGAGAAACTGACTATTAAATAGAGTGGCTGCGAAATGGCATAGGTGCGAAACGTCATAGTTGCTAAACGTCATAGTTGTAAAACGTCATAGTTGCAAAATGACATAGTTATGAAATGTCATTGTTGCGAAATGTCACAGTTGCGAAATGTCATAGTTGCGAAATGTCATAGTTGCGAAATGGTCATAATTGCGGAATGCCTTAGTTGCGAAATGGCAAAGTTGCGGAATGTCTTAGATGCGAAATGCCTTAGTTGCGAAATGTCTCAAAAGGTTGCGAAACGTCGTACCTCAAAATGCAGTCCCATCTCTCGACCGCCTTTTTTTCGACATCTTTTCCACGTCGTTTCTCGTCGTTCGTCTCCAAAACGAGGCTCGAAATGCTCGCCGCGCCGAGCATCGCCGCGTACATATACGATCGTTTGTAGTCGTTCTGAAACGTCGTAGTTGCGAAATGGCATAGTTGCGAAATGTCATAGTTGCGATATGTCGCGGTTGCGAAATGTCCTAGTTTCGAAATGTCATAGTTACGAAATGTTATAGTTGCGAAATATCATAGTTGCGAATTTTCCTAGTTGCAAAATGTCTTGGTTGCGAAACGGTCATAGTTGCGAAACGTCACTCACATCAATTGTCAATTTTCCATCTGTTGCCTTATGAGCAATTCCCAGTTTCAGGAGCAGCTCGACTTGTTCCTCAATCGATTTTGTCAATTCCACATCGTCGGCTTTTCTGAAATTTTTTTTTTTTTTGAAAATTTGGTTCGGCGGGAATTCATAAAATTTGAAAAACTTACGGAAAACTGCCTTTCCAAATGAGCTGAATCGTGACTTGCTGAGCAATCGCCGGAAGCATACGGTAGATGAAGAATGCTGAAAAGTTGCGAAATGTCTCAAAAGTTCTAAAACGTCCCAAAAGTTGCGAAATGTCCCAAAAGTTCTAAAACGTCTCGAAAGATGCGAAACGTCCTAAAAGTTCTTAAACATTCTAAAAGTTCCAAAACGTCTCAAAAGTTCTAAAACGTCTCGAAAAGTTCTTAAACGTTCTAAAAGTTCCAAAACGTCTCAAAAGTTCTAAAACGTCTCAAATGTTCTAAAACGTCCCCAAAGTTCTGAAACGTCCAACAAGTTCTAAAACGTCTCGAAAGTTGCGGGTCAAAAATGCTCAAAATTTCAAATTTTCGGGTCAAAAAGTCCAAAATCCTCACAGCAAGACGGTTTCTGGAGCATCCGTTGTCGATCTTTCGGCTTAATTGACATCAAAAAGTCCAAAAAAAGACACGAATGTCTGGATGAGCTCACGCCAGTCGTGTTGGCTGGCGCCTCCGAAGGGGCGGAGCTTGACGATGCGGACATCTGGAAATCTGGATAAACAGATAGTCAAAATCATGACAATAGGTAAATGAGAAGCATCCAATCAAATAGGAGAATATGAAAAATATACCAACATACAATTCTCAGAAATTGTCTTCATTCATACAGTAATCGGGGGATAGGGGAGCACCAAAAAATGGGGGCGGAGCCAAAGTGGAAGAGTGGGTGGAGCTAGGGAAAAATTTGGGAGAAAAATAACCCGGATAATAATAATAATAAATTCATAAGGAAAATGGAAAAATGAGGCAAATAGAGAGTTTCGGGGGGGGGGGGGGGCGAATTTTTAAGGAAATTTTTTAAAGTTAAAAAATTTTTTTTTTAAATGTCAAAACGTTCCAAAACGTCCTAAGAAAGTTAACATAATAGAACCATGACGTTCTAGAGCTGTGACATAATGGAACCTCTAAAACGGCTTGAAAAGTTCTAGAACGTCCTAGATGCCCAAAATGGGTTCTAGAACGTCCTACTAGTTGCGAAACGGCGCGAAAGTTCCAAAACATCCCTAAAAAGTTGACATAATAGAAATATGACATTCTAGAACTGTACTAGATTACGACTGTGTCGTTCTAGAACCGCGACCTTATAGAACTGCGACGTTTCAGAACCTTGCGGGGAGTAGAACCTTGACGTTCTAGAACTGTGACATAATGGAACCTCTGAAACGCCCCAAAAGTTGCGAAACGTCGTCACGGTCCTAACAGTTCTGAAACGTCTCGAAAATTGCGAAACGTCCAAAAAAAGATCTAAAACGTCCAAAAAGTTCTAAAACGTCTATTTCCAAAAATCGCTGAAAATCTCAATTTTTCGAGTTAAAATCGGCTGAAAATCGCCATTGTAATCGAGATTTTCAAGGAGCAAAATCTCAATTTTTTGGAGAACCTGAAAAATAGATTTTTCAGGTTCTTAAAAAATCAGTAATATATAAAAAATTGCACACAAAATAAGGAAATCTAAGAAAGAAGAGGGAAACACACACTATTGGAAATATGGGGGAAAGTTCAAAATATCGATTTTTAGAATACAATTTTAAAAAAAAGGAGCCAAAAATATTGATTTTTCGAATTTAAAAAAAATATAAGCTGAAAATCAAAATGAGCCAAAAATCGATATTTCAGGAATACAGTGATCATCTCTTCTTATTCTTATTCCAAGTCTTCGATGATGACGATTGCTCATGCTTAGTCTCCCCATCTCGTTCCCCGATTCCAGGCGGTGCCGATGCCACCCGAATCGGCGCCGACGTCGTCAGCACCATCATCTCGCCGGGACGTGGATTTGGCGTGTTGGCAATCGCCAACATCATCTGATGCGTCGTCGTCGTCGTCGTTGAGGAGGGGCCTCCAGAAGAAGACGTCAAAATTCCAGATGACGCTGAATTCTTTCGATTGTTCTGATATCGATTGGGAGAGCCGAACGTGCCGTTCGCCAGTTGATCGAAGATTTGATAGGCGGCCGCTTTGAACTGGAAATTTTAAGATTTTTTGAATTTCAAAAATTCCAAAAATTCGAAATTTTTTAAAATTCCAAAACTTCAAAACTAACCAATTTTTTTTGCATTTGATTGATAAAGAGATTATTGTTGATTACAGGGAAATCGCTGAAAGTCGGAAATTCCAAAATTTTCGGGTTTTAGATGCCCTAACATGGCCCTGGTGTGTTTTCTAAGCCATTTTGAAGTGGTGGCCTATAAAACCAAATATGCAAAAATTAGGCCACCACTTCGTTAGACATGACATGTCAGGCCATTTCCAGGCCATTTTAACGTGGATTTTTAGATTTTTTGAAACCCAATAAAACTCACACCGCCCTTATTTTTGGCATTAATTGCTAGATTGATATTTGACAGAGCAGCTGTATCGATTGGAATCGGCTCCTCGTCGTCGGTGGTTAGTTGTTTGTACTGCAGAAATGAAAATTATTGAAAATTCGGCTCCGAGACGTTTCAGAACCAGTCATTTCGAAACCGCGACATTTCGAAACTACAACGTTTCGAAACAAAGTCATTTCAAAACTGCGTCATTTTAAAACCAGTCATTTCGTAACCGTGACACTTCGAAACCGCGACATTTCGAAACCACAACGTTTCGAAACTGCGTGACATTTCAAAACTGGGTCATTTCGAAACCGCGACATTTTGAAACCGCGACATTTCGAAACTAAAACGTTTCGAAACACAGTCATTTCAAAACCGCGACACTTCGAAACCACGACGTTTCGAAACTGCGACACTTCGAAACCGCGACACTTCAAAACCACAACGTTTCGAAACCGCGACATTTCGAAACCGCAACACTTCGAAACCACGACGTTTCGAAACCAGTCATTTCGAAACCGCGACACTTCGAAACCGCGACACTTCAAAACCACGACGTTTCGAAACTGTGTGACACTTCGAAACCGGTCATTTCGAGCCGTGTTTTTTCCGGTTTCGAAGTGTCACATATTTTCGAAATGACGCGGAGCCGTTTTTTTCATAAAATCGATGAAAAATCAGTGATCAGAAGTGCAAGTGATAGTGGAGTGATAAGTGATAAGAAACTTACGATCAAAAATGATACAAAATAATAGTAATATGCATTTGTGTAGTCTTTGTGTATGTATTTTTGGAATAAACCAAATTTTAAGTATGAGCAATGACGAGCCCACAAAAACCCATTGTGTTTTTAGTGTTGTGATGGATTTGTGAACTGAAAAATTTTCCAATTTTTTGCCTACAGTAACCGAATCTTCTAGATCATTTTAGCATGGTGGCCTAACTTTCTTAACAGATTTTTCTAGGCCACCGACTTTTATCGCCTAGGAATGAGCTTATATTCATCTGGCGTGTTTTCTAGACGATGTTAACATGGTGGCCTAACTTTCGCAAGTATGGTTTTCTAGGCCACC